GCTTCGACGTCCACCGAGACTTGACGGCCATTATGCCGCGTTTCCACGCGAGAGCACGCATCGAGAACAGCTGTTACGGTCCGAGCTCGGCCGGGGGTAATTTCTCGCGAGTTATTCTAACCGCCGATGAAAAACCGCGATTAACCGCGGCCGCCTTATGATTTCTCGCGCGATTACGCGCGGACCCGGGCAACTGTTTTTTGGCGTTTGCAGCTTTGGAACGGGAAGAGCTTCAGTTTTGCGGAGATGAGAAGAATAAAATGCTAGTTGTTTTAATGGGAGATTTTTAATGGAAGATGGTATCGCGTTAACTTTGGGGAAGGAAAGGATTGAGTTAGAGATGTTGTTTCTGAAAATATTGTGAACTCGATATTTAGGAGTATTTCGCGTGATTTTGAGTGTATTTCTAGTGGTTCAGGTCGATAATTCAGAGCCCAGGTTTTGTAATTAAGTTTGTCGATGAATTAACATTGAATTTCAGAAGAATTGAACGTTTAAATTTGATAATTGGCAACTTTACCAATATATTAGCTTCGAATTTTAAGGAAATCGAACTTTCAATTTTTTTGAATTCAATCACCGTAAAAGAATCAAGCTTCTAATCTTTTTAAACTTGAAACTATTCTAGTTGTACAGTTTCATTTCTCCAGAATAAACGTTACAGTTAAAACTCTGGTTCCAAAGTTCGAGCAATTACAAATATTTCTTATTAAAATCAATTATCGCGCACTTCGTGTCAGTCGACATCTTCAGCTCTCGATCAGCGCTCGTCCATCGATGCCCCACAAACGAACGATCCCTCCGCGGCGTTCGGAAAGAAAGGAATGATCGTGAAACCTTTTAGTTCCTTAAGCACGAAAAAAGTAGTCCGCGGGGGAAAGTTTCATTCGAAAGCTAGTTAAGCTCAAACTTTTCTGGCACTTTACGGCAGTTCCGAGTTTCCTCTCCGCCGCGTGAAATAAATATTTCCCCTCCTCGTTCGGCCCGGTTCTCTTCCCAAAAAGTCCGATTCACCGGACATACCACAGGATCCGAACGGGCGAGAAAACACGCGTGTTCATTATTCCCGCCGCTGAAAACGAGGCCCTTTAATTACTCCGTTCAAGGGAGGGAAAAAAGGGGAAATTCATTCGGTAATTGGAACATTCAATTGCAGTCGCAAAAATAGTCGCGAAGAATGGCGCGCGATTCCGCACCGAAAGTTCGGCTGAAAATGCGAAAAGCAATTTGCGAAAACAAAAAGGCACAGTGGCCGAACAACAATTTTCGCGTGCGCGCAGACATCACCGTGCGAACGCGACATAATAAACACCCGCGGTTTAAATTCTATCGTTTCAGCTCAGGGTATCCTTTCTGCGTGAACAAAACGTCACGCCACTTCGCAATTTCGATCTCGCGCGAGTGCGATAATTAACCACTTCGTGGCCCAGCTAGAATTCGATAACGACTAATCTGTAACGAGAAAATTTGTTCTATGGTTCACGATTTTCCGAGCTTTAGTGAGCGAAGAAAGAAAATTTCTTTCTGTTTAGCATTTCAAAGAAAGTTATTAACATGGAAGAAAGGACTTGAAGTGGCACTCGTATTTTTAAACATATTCCAATACCTTTTGCTCTGTATATTTTTAAACCAGCAATTTTGCAACATGATTTTACGTCTATAATATTTCCTGAAATGCACTTATATTATCCAATATTCTACGCTCCTTTCACCGTTCGTATCCTGGAAATACTTGGGCGTTGCTTTTCATTAAAACGCTGCTATAAATTAAATACGTATCGGGTTCCTGAAAGATTCATTTAATTTCACGAGTGTTTATGCAAATATTTAGATTCAATCGTGTCAGTGGTAAATTAAGAGTTCTCTGAAGAATCAAAGTATTAAGAAGATAATGAGGAAAAATGGAATTAGCGAGTTCAGGAGACAAAGAGTATTAAAAGCGGTGTACATGCACTACAATCGTACAGAACCACTTTCCGCAAACGGAGGAACGAACCGGTCCAAGTACCACAACGTTCAAACAATTCGGCCGCGCGCAGCTTTCCTGAATTATCGCGGTGCTCGCGAAATATCCACGAAAGTTGCCCAGTAAATCACACCGAACAAAACCGCCCGTACTGCTGGTACAAGACCAGGTGGCAACAAGACACCTAGCCCGACCAAAAACCGACGACACACTTTGCCGGGTAATAAGTGAATTTCGAATAAATTCTTCTCGCCTCTGTACGAGATCATTTTGACACGACAGTAAGTTACTCGTGATTAACTGTGGTATGCAAAATGGTAGAAAAATGTTGAAAATTTAGACGTTAGTTGGTACTTGATAATAAAAAAATGCGTTAATAAACGTAGAGATAAATATTTTCAAAATTGTTACAACTTTTTATTTTGGATAGCGAGGATAGATCTGTCTGCTTTTGATACTCAATTCTTTTGAAATTCTCAAAGCAAACAGCAATAACATAGCAATTCTATCTCAAGAAATTCAAATATTCGTAGAACACTGAAAAAGCAATGTCCAGCCCCCAACCGGCCGCGAATCTCGAAAATATGCAAAATAAAATTTCACGTGAAACTCCCGAAAGCCTGGGGCGCAACGAAAGAATTCCGTCGCGGGTCAAAGCGACCATCAGTCACCCGGGGGTTGAAGGTAAAACCGATCCGTCCCATTGACTCGGCGCGCGGGTCGAGGAGCCGATATGCTGTCAGGCTAGGCGGTTAGAAAAAGAGACCGACGCAAGAACTCACCGTTGATGACGATGATGACGCCTATCAGGCAGAGCGGCAAGTGTCGCAGGCCCATCTTCGGTGGGGTCGAATGGAGCACAGAAAAAAAGAGGGTAACACGCGTAAAAGGAGAGGGGGATCCTCACTTGCTCCTGTCGAACATCGTTTTTCGGATCTCGCTGTTTGAAACTGCTCCTCTATTCTCTCTTGTTCTATTCACTGGACGATCCCCGGGAATATCAGTCGGCCATCCCGGCAGGAAGATTCATCTCGACGGCAGTTGTCATCGCCGCGAGGGTACACCGGGGGATCGTGCTTACCGAGGGTTCACCGATCGAGGATCGAAGGAGGATCGACGTCAGCTGGTAGACTCTCGAACGACAGCTAATTAGGAGGAACTCGGTTGATTGAGCGCGATCAAAGAGGGCCGATCGGAATCCGATTTTCACCCTTAAACTGTCGGCCGTCGTTCGACCCCGCGAATCGTCTTCTTTTCACCTTTCCACCGAGACTATTACTACTTTCTCTGTAGCCTCTTTCCCTTGCCCTTCCGTCCTTCTCCGAGGATATATAATATCCTTCCCGCCGGCTTGATCCGCTTGTTTGTTCCTGATGACGTCAGCTAGCCAGTAACCTCCGCGATCCTTCAGCGTGGCAGCTGCCCGGCTCGGTCCACCCCAAGACCGAGGGATGAGAGTTGATCCCCCAACGGAGTAGAGAGCGAAAGGGGGACCGGCGGCTTCGCGAAACCCCGAAGTCCTTTTAACGTAATTACTTCTCCCGTCGGACTGTCCCGAGCTCGTCCGATTTTAATGATCAAAGGAGCCAATCGAAGCGGACCGATGATCCCGGGGAGCAGACGCGCTCCAGCGGCTTGTCCCTCGCAGCACGCATTACCGGTTATTCTCCAATCAGTGGTCACCGTAGGAAACAGATCCTCTTGAAATGCGATCGATCTATTCACTCCGGCTTCGTCTAGCTCCCGCAGACTATCCGTCTACCTCGAACTGCCTTCAGAATCGGTTGCACGTTTGTATCTTCCGAAATTCGAGGATTTATCACTGGGTTAGGGTATGCAGGAGGATAGCGCGCGACGGGAAGCTGATCAGACACTGGGATCGAGGAAGCCACGAGACGCTTCCGGCCACGTCGAACTCGCGGCGCTTACTGAGTCTCTCGAGGCGATCCTCGAGGGTGACGAGCACGTTTCTCACCCCCACCAGGGGCCGGGCTGACCGCCACACGAGGGGCCGCGCGCTGATCCGACGAACATGCGCAGCAACCGCGCTCCCTCGGCTCCGGGCTACGGCGCGGTCTGAAAAGCGTCGCGACGCTTCCACGTCGAGCGGCCGGACTGACTGAGCAACGGTCAAGGCGGCCACCCTCCGACGCCGGCCGCGAGACAAAGAGGGCTGGGGCCGCGTAAAGCGCAGCCACCGGGCGTGTGCACGCACACACGGTCGACGATGGGTACGACTTGCGGCAAAAGTTATGACCTCAAAGGGCTCGTTAACGAGCGCCCGCCAAATTAGTATAACGCCGGTTCTACTTCTGCGCCTAGACTCCGGTTGGTGTTCTTGCGATGGGCTGGGTTTTATGGCGTTCGTTTGCTGGCCGATTGTTTTTTCATACTGAGTGCTAGGGTAGATTTTGATTAGGAGGTTCTTTTCGATTTCGCTGCTTTCGGGAGGAAATGTTCGAAACGGAGTTTAAACCGTGTGATAGGAAGTTTGTTATTTGGACCTGTTTGATAGCTCTAGTGTTGATGCTTGTTGACCCTTTGCGTTTCAGAGCTGACTCAGCCATCGCTTGATTTGATATGGTAAAGTTAGAGTCTTGTATGCAATATGACGCTTTGTATAATGAATTAATATGTGAAACGTTGGCGAACTTTCGTATGCGAAAGTGAAGATGATGACAGTGAATTGGTAAATTTAATTATCTAGTATTAGTCGAGTATCTTGCCTACTAGTTAAGTGTCTTAGCATAATCTATCTAGTTCATTAGACGGGGAGACAAAAAGTATTCGTTATTACACTCGTGCCTTGCACGCGAATAATTTCACCTTTTATTATCGCAACTGCTTTCATTAATTCCTTCGATCCTTCCGATCGAATGAAAATAAACTTCCCACCGGTGGCAGCGGTACATGTAAAGTAAACAGAACAAGATCGTACAGTTCGCGCTACATTTTATCACCCAGCGTGCACGAGTATTAATTATTTTCTCAACTTATTACCAGTCACGTTTCAATAAACATCGCTGCCGTATTGAAAAGCGCAATTTCGCTCCTCGCGCCGGCGTTTCCC